TTTAAAAAAATATATGAACTAATGAGCTCTGATCAAATTTGAGTAAATGTATATGCATATACATACATATCTATAGATATAAAAGGCTAAGTAACTGTCTGACCTTTTGACCAGTAGCTATGATGTGCACTGACCACCAGGGGGAGGATGCTCAATGCAGGAGCTGAGCTGCGGTGACTTGGCAGTGATGGTTCTCGGGTGACATACCCCAGAACCAGAGAGGAGGGAGCCTGATTCTGGGGTGCATCACCTGAGAACCACCCTCTCACAATCCAAGACCCCTAAGGGGATATTGGAGAACCAGTTTCAGCCCGATCCCTGCAGGCCAGGCAGAGGGACCCCACCTGCCAGAGAGACCCGCTCACTCTGCAGATGCCCTTCGAGCCTCGGCGCCAAATTAGCTATGCCTGGCTGGGAAGGGGCCATGGGAGGGTGGCTCCGGGGAGTGTCCAGCCCGTCTCACCCCATCCCGCCGCCAGCCACCTTCTAATTAATTTCCTTTCAATGTGCATGGATCCGTGCACCGGGGCACTAGCACTTAAATATATTAAAAGGACTTCATTAAAATATTTGTATTTGTTACCTCTAGTGAAATGTTAAGTAGCGAAAATTTCATTTTAGTTTTAATCATTTGTTTTCAGCATGGAAGAAAAAAAATGCCTTTGGAAATCTTTTTTTTTTCTTCCTTTTTTTTTTTTCTTTTTTTATTGATTTTTTTACAGAGAGGAAAGTAGAGGGATAGAGAGTTAAAAACATCGATGAGAGAGAGACATCGATCAGCTGTCCCCTACACATCCCCGTCTGGGGATATGCCCACAACCAACGTACATGCCCTTGACCGGAATCGAACCTGGGACCTTTCAGTCCGCAGGCTGACGCTCTATCCACTGAGCCAAACTGGTTTCGGCTGGAAACCTCTTAAGTCATGGAAAATACAATAAACGCAAACATATTTATGAACCACACCTGACACTGACAAAGACTCCTAGCTGTTAGGTTTGATTGAGCAATTGAATCGCTACCCCTCCCCCCAGGAAATGACTTTTCAAGCCTTTTCACTATGGACAGTCCCTTTGGCTGAGATCACACTTTACTTGCTGAGACCACGTTCCATTGTCTCTCCCCTCAAGACCTGCATAGAGAATTTCCCTGCCCAGAAATACCCTGCCAAAATCCTTTAAAAACCGCTGACCCCGTCACTGGGTGCTGGAGCCATCCAGGCTCAGCCACCTGGTGTTCGGATGATGGAATAAATCCGTGATCCCTCACCATTCTGGCTGGTGCGTTCCTTCTTCGGAGACCTAACACTAGCCAGGCCTCTCAGCCTCTTCTCACCTAGGCCCCAACCTCGGTCTATAAAGATGTGAATAAAACACTAACATAGTTTCTAACAGTTCAGAACTGCATCCCTAGGATAACTCTGGCCCCTGTAAAGTGTCTATGGCGATGACTCGGGCTGCCCAAAGAATTTGCTGTCTGTTCCAGAGACACCTGGACATACGGCTCCTGTTTGGGTCTCACATGGACCAAGCTCTCATCCTGCTTTCTGCCATTTTCCACCTCCCTGACTCTACAGATCCTGCCATCTCGTTCCGCAGCCTCTCTTTCAAACACCAGTCACCTCTGTACAGATTTAGTTTCTTTTCCCTATGACGGCACTTTCTACTGATCTAAAGTTGTCCAATCCACTTTAACTAGTTCCCGAGTTTATCACTGTACAGTCCCTCAGTAAGTTCATGTCTATTTATGGAAATAGAAACCGGATGTTATCTTTCCTTCCCGTTAGCTTGTGAAGCCCTGTGAACCATCTCCTGCATTGACTGACTGGGTTTCCATGCTTTTGAAGAAAAGGTATTTGATAAGAAAATCATAGTTCAGCTGTGACAATTCAATTAGAATTTTTATGAGACCCTTGAAAGATCCAGGTTTGTCTTTCATCCATTTTCTATGGTGCAGAAATTTAAAATGTTTATATATTTCCTATCTTTACCCTATAAGAGAAAGGATTTTTCTAGAATTCTAAAATCTCCCTTTTCATGTGAATAGTACATGGCGATGTGAAATTAGTCTTATTATAAGCTAGTTCCACCCTTGTCTATTTGCTGACCATCCCTCAAATCACTAACTATATATATAAGCAACCAAAGCATGTCCACAATGCAAAACTGATTGTGTTCAACATCCGCTTAAAACCTTAAATTATTTCCCACTACTCCTGAGGGGGGGAAAAAAATCCTAAGTCCTCAATACATCTGTAAGGAACATTCTCCCCTGCATGTCTCTTCACTTTGCTCACCAAAGCTATATCTGTCCCATCTCTGGGCCTGTGCATCACCTGCCATCCTATTTGAAATGCTGTTTTCCTTTTACAAGTTGCCAATATTTCATACTTCGGTCTCAACTACCACCTAATTTCAAGCTACAATGTAACAGCAACCAGATTACCGTGTGATATTAACAAATAAATAGAACTAGAATGATGCCAGGCAGAGAGTAAGCGTGCAGTAAGTGCTGATTGAATATGGAACCGAGATAAAAGAAATTCAGTTCTATATAGCAATCTCTTCCACTCCCCGCATGGAAAGAGTTCCAATTCAGGGTTCGGGTTCTGGAGAAGGGCCACACACAAATGAAAGGACTTGAAACTTGAAGAAATTCAACTTGACGATATGGGGGGCCAGGTGATAGTCTGACTCTAGTGGGAGAACAACTCCTGCTCTGGCCCTGCCATCCCTTTTATTGAGGCTTTGGGGAAAACATCTTAGGCAGCATAAACAGAAATTTACATGTAGCCCTTAGGCAGGAAATGACAGAAACTTACACAGGACAAACAAGGTGGAGGCTGCTTCAGCTAACAATGTCTCAACTAAAGGGTGAGTGGTTAGAGCAATCAAGGTTGTTGACCAGCCTTCCTGGCTTCCTGTCAACATCTCTTTTTTAATGAAACTGATTTGTTTTCCAGCAGTTCTATCCTATCAACTATAGATTGTAGCCAGAGTTCTTTGTGGTGGTCTAAACTGTATGAGGGCATCTAGAATTTGTAGAAGATTCCTCCAAAAACAGCTTGTCGAACGAGTCACCACCATAGTTTCTTAGATGAAGAAACCCTGACACCTGATAAGGAGGCTCTGTCTGTGTATTCAGTTTTCTTTGAATCCTGAGAGGCCATCACCCAGGACATTGCTGAGGAAGTTTAACAAATGAGTTACCCTGGCGGTCCTGACGCACCGAAGCTGGAGGACCACGTCCAAGGGAAGGCTGACCTGTTAGTTCAGGAGTGACACCACGCCCTGCTGTCTGAAGAGCTCACCCCAGCCCAAACCCAGACACCTTTTGTCTGAAAACTGCACCGTTTTGGGTTCTGCATCCCATGACCATGGGCGGCAGGGGGGTTGCGGGGGAGACAGCGTGAGGGGGAAGGGGGAGGAGTTCTTCCATACCACCAAGAAACTCAATTCTGACACTGTCTCCCTGGTGGTGGCCTCAGGTCCTACAGCGGAGGGCTCAGTCCCGCAAGGCTGCCCCCACAGGTGCCAGCCACAGTCCTGGGTCTTCCCTGCCCTTCTGGCCATCTGGCTGTGAGTCAGAGGTTTCCTTGAGTGTGCTAGAGCAAATCACATGACTCAGGAGACCTGCTCGCTCACTAGACTGTCGGTTTCTAACAAAGGACATTAGAGAAGAATCAAAAGCCAGACGGAGAGACACAGAGGGCGAGGTCTGGAACAAAGGCCTCCTGTCCTCGCAGGGATGTATGTGGGCCCTGCCCAGGGGCACAGACGGCATTCTGGCTCCCCACCTGGAAGCTGCCCACACCCTCCCTTTGGGGGTTTATGGAAGCTTCAGCACATGGTAATGACGGACTAAACCCCTGGCTACTGGTGAGAGTCACCCTCTAGCCCCTTTCCCTCTCCGGAGGTCAGGATGGTGGAACTGAAAATCCCAACCCTCCAATCACACGGTCGGTTCTCCTGACAACCAGTCCCCACCCCGAGGTCCCGTCCAAAGGTCACCTTGTTACCAGAGCAAGACGTCCTTGTGACTCTCGTCATTTAGGAAATTCCCATGGGTCTTAGGAGCTCTGGCCAGAAATCGGAGTGAAGACCAAATACAGTTTTCTTGTTATAAAATCACGATATCACAAACCACGTTCAGTGGCGTTGTACATAGCCCTGACTCTTGGCCATAACAGATTTAGCTTACACAGGAACAGTTAACCAGACCTGGCCAATGAGAGGCCCTTCCTAGGGATGCAGAGGCCCCAGGGTCTTCTGGGGGCTGGAGGGAAGGACATGTGCTTTGGATGTGTGGGGCGGCCACACACGCAGGCTAGCCCAGCACCCTGGTCTTCAGGGAGACGGGTGTAAGGCCTGAGGAGCGCCCACAGGCCCCGGGCAGGCCTGAGGAGGCAGGGCCCGGGCTCCGGTCAGCCCCCCTGGCTTTTTCTGTGGCAGCAGCTCAGGTGGATTCCCATTTCTCGTGGCCAAAAGAGAATGAGCAGAGGGGGACCAGCCATCGAGCCCTCTGAGGCACCAGTTCCACGCAGGTCGCCAGTTCTGCCTGTTTTCCTCCCAAAACAATGCCCCATCCATGGGCCCAAGTCAGCCCTGATTTCCCCCCCAGCCTGTGTCTGATTTGCCTGAGCACGGACCTCCCATGCCCGAGGCCACCTCCCAGCACCTGGGCTCTGTGGTGCAATTGCACCCCTGGTGGAGCCCATTGTCATCCAACTGCACAGCCCCTACTGTCACCCATTTCTTGGCTTCCTCCCCCACAGCACCAACCAAACCCAAACCCTGCTCGCCAGGCTGAGGGCTGATGGGAGCGTGGGCAGTCATTGAGCTTCCTTCCCTGTCCAAATTCACTGCATGGTGAACACCAGCACCGCAAGAGCACTCCCTGAGTAAGCAGAAATCCTGGTTACCCCTCACCCCGAAGGGACCGGGATCCCTCATTACCCACCTCCCTTTGGCCCCCCCTCCTGCAGAGTCCCCTGGGCGTACCTGGGATATAAACGGTGCCACCATCGCTCCGATGCGACACAGCGAGCCGCTGGTGCCCATCCCCAAGGCGCGCATGGTGGTGGGGTAGACCTGGAGGGAGGCACAGAGCACCGGTTAGTCCTGGCCTCTTCCTTCTTGCCGCCCCTCCCTTCCCAGGTCAGGCTTCTGTGTATGTGGTGTGGGCAAGAGCAGGGAAATCACCAGCCCCCATTACCTAAAAGATAAATATTAAGGAAGCATACTACTACTGCTGCTACTAATACAATGATTAATAAGTCATAATACAAGAATAAACTGTGTTTAGCATACAACTGAAAACCTACTTTTGTCCACACCTTACATTAAATACCAAATATTCTATATAGGGTATAGAAGACATTCATTTTCTCAGGTACACTACTTTGAATTTTTAAACTTTATAACTATCACAAAAGGAATAAGCACTTAGAAATTATCCTTTAAGTAAGCAAATTCCAAACTATGTATTTTTAATATATTATTATTGATTTCAGAGAGGAAGGGAGAGGGAAAGAGAAGTAGAAACTCAATAAGAGAAAATCATTGATTAGCTGCCTCCTGCAGACCCCATACTGGGATCAAGCACACAACCCAGGCATGTGCCCTTGACCAAAATCAAACCCAGAACCTTTCAAACTGCAGGCCAATGCTCTATCCACTGAGCCAAACCAGTTAGGGCCAAGCTATATGTTCAATTGAATATTCAAAATGTAATTTTAGAAAAGCAAGCTCTGGAATCAGACAGATTCCCACTTCAGAGTTAAAAATGCATAAGGGTGCTGCCAGGCCGGAGCAGCGGCTGCCAGGCTGGGTGCGGCCAGGCCCGGGGGAGCAGCTGCCAGGCTGGGAGTGGCCAGGCCCGGAGCAGCCGCAGCCAAGTCCAGAGCAACTAGGTCGGGAGCAGCAGTGACCAGACCTGGAACAGCTGGTTGTGGAACGAACCAGAGCAACAGAGGCCAGGCCCTGAGCAACCAGGCCCGGAACAGCTCGCTCCTCGCCTGCCCCTACCCCACAGCTGCCTCTCAGACATGGCTGGAAACTTTCACGGGAACTTGAGGGTCTGCTGAATCAAGTGATAAAGGCTTAGATCTGGATGTGTTGAGTTAGTTTAGGACTGGGGTGTTGATCTGTGAGTGCCTTGGGTGGGGCCTAGATGAGGCTAGTTGACCTATTGGGAAATGTCTTTTGTGTAAAGTGTATCATTGGGCATGTGGAGGTATTATTGATATGAGAAAATGCTAAGTAACTGATTTACTATTTGAAAAGGGATTTACTATTGGGGAAAGGGAGGGAAGAAGAGACTGAACATAAACTGTGCACCTATGGATGAGGACAATGGGGGATGGGGAGGGGGTGGAGGGTAGGGTGGGAACCTGGTGGAGGGGGGAAGAAATGAGGAACCTTTGTAATAATATGAAAAATAAAGATTGATTTTAAAAAAATAAAATAAAAATGCATAAGGGCGGTTCTACTGAAGGACAATACTTCCCAAGCAGTGATTCAATGAAACCTTAAAGTAGTGCCATCAGAAAGGTCGCTGGTTCGATTCCCAGTCAGGGCACATGCCTGGGTTGTTGGTTTGATTCCTGGTTGGATACATGCAGGAGGAGATCTATCAATGTTTCTCTCTCATTTTCTCTCTCTCAACCTTGTTTCTCTCTCTATCTCCCTCTCCCTTCCTCGCTTTAAAATCAATAAAAACATATTTAAAAAGAGAGACAGGGCTAGATACATGCTACACCCTCACCACGTTCTCACTGCAAAATCTTACGACATAATCTACTTTGTTTCTGCAACTCTCTTACGTTTATAGTGAAACCTCATTAATCTGACTTCATTAGTTCAGAATTCTTATAGGAACGGGCAAAGGTTGAATTCGCAAATGTTATGTAACAAATGAGATTATAGGGAAAATATATAAAACGGTGTTTTTTTTTTAAACTCTGGAGCATTTTCTCTCAATTCTATACAATACTCAGAAAAACAGTTTTTACCATTTCATTAAAACAAAGCACGAAGCCCTTTTTCTAGGCTGTGTCTTGTTAGCCGCCATTTATCAAGTGCAAAAGCGAAATGTGTTCCTGCCTCAGCGGCCGCTGCTATGTTTATAGGAAGGGGGAGGGGGGGGTCTCAGGGGAGTTTGCTTGCTTTTCCTAGAAAATGAGGCTGCTTGCTTTTCCTAGAAAATGAGGCTGCTGACTGGGCCTGAGAATAACAGATCTGGATACATGGTGATGGTTTTTTCTATATATAACATTAATAAAGTCTTTTGTTCAGATTTTGACAATTCTCAGAGATAGAACAACAAATGATTTTAAAAATAAGTATGGGGGGGGGGGAACAACTTAGAAAGGACCTTTAAATGAAAACATTCCAAAATGGCAAGCTGAACATTGCAAATATAGCTTTAGAAGCAGAGCATGTGACACGCTGATTCTAAATGCACAAAATCATTTTAGAAGATGTGGTTAATGGAATTAAGTGACGTGTTCGGTATATGCCAAACATCTCATCACTTCCTATCGCTATGGGGGCGGGGAGAACATTTCCCTGTGGCTTTCCTGTCTCTGGCACGTCACGTCTGTAACCTGAACAGCCTTCGTGTTTCCAGGAATGGCAACAGAGGCCGTTCATCAGTCCCCACAGCACTTCGTGTCCCAGCTCATCGAGGGACAAAACCAGTAAAAGGCTACGCTTCCTCCCCAGAAACGGCTCATTTCTAGGCATATCAGCTCTTTAAAGTTAGGGTCAATGAGAGGAGCCTCTAGCCTCCTCAGGCAGAAAGCTATAGAGTAGATGTATCAGTTCAATAAATTCAGAAAGACTATATTACTATTAAACTTCAATAATGCAGCCAATAACCAATGAGCGGGGTGTGATCTTTCAAAGGAATAAAGGTGAAAAATACATCCCCAATTTCAAAAAGAGGGAAATCGGGAGTTTTACATTTTAACAGCGACATGCAGCGTGGGCCCTGTTTCTCTGAAGCACGGTGCAGGGACAGGAGTTGTTCTATATGGATGCTGTCCAGGGGAGGGAAGCGGTCCTCAGTTTCTCCTCAGACACTGGTTTGCACTAGACCCAAGGGAGCAGGGGACACTGCCTGTCCAATCAACCTTCTGGCATCCTTTTAGTGGGATGTTTTCAGAATATCATCAGAAGCCAAGGATGCGTTACCTACAGGTGGACATCCTCTCTACATCCCGTGAAGGAGCGGACCCTCCCCCACACTCACCTCAGCCGTGTAGATGTAGATGGTGTTGAAGTTGGCAGCCACCAACGCCCTCAGCATGAAGAGGAAGCCGATGAGGCCGGCGCTAGGGAACAGAAAGCCAGAGAAAAGTCACCCAAAGCAACAGGCAGGGTCTTCCCCGGCCCTGGCCGAGTGCATCACAGGTGCCATCGCCCACCCCCCGGTGACCAGCTTCTCAGCTGGCCCGCTGAGGGGGTCCTAAAGCAGATGCCTGCCTTGAACCTTCAATCCTACCCTCTGACCTCTCCACTCCCCAAAGGGTGCCATTCTAGCCTGGCCCCTACTCCCCCAAAATGGTTGGGATAGTTTGTAGAATAAGTGGTTTATGTTGTAACAAAGGCCACTCCAGGGTGGCAAATTAAAAGTTAAATGAATTTTCACACCACAGGTATGTGTTGTGTTTTATGTTATGTTATATATCACTAAACTATCCTGACTTATAGTCAGCGTAATTTGTTAACAAGGAGAGTCCCAAATCTCCAAGAAGCTTGGTCTAAAGATCCTAAATATGAGGATCTTTATGTGAGTGGAGTGAGTGGAGTGAGCAGTCCCATGGTGGGATCCATATCCTGTGATAGCTGAAGAGGCAGGTATCAGTGTAGGTGCCAGGTAAGAGCATTCTAGGCAAACAAGCAGCCCATTCTCTCCTCTCCTGGTGAAAGAGACTTAACCCTGACCCCCAGTGAAGAAGACCCCATCAAAACTGGACTATTTTGAAGCAAGCAGAGAGAAAATACCTTGACGTGCAAATATTGAGGAGGAGGAAGAACAACGCTGTGCAGCCCATGGTGATGGACAGGCTCCGCCGTCTGCCCAGGAAGTTAATGCCCACGATATTCAGAGGGTTCACTAGACAGCAAACGGCAAAGACCATTTCTGGAACCTCGGGGGGGTTCCTCCTCATTTCAGGAAGCAGCAGCTTCACAAATGGTGTGTGTATTCCAGCCGAGACCGTCAACTCTTCAACCTTCGACATACTTTCCCCACGTGGGTCCAAGAAGGACAAGCACCGGTGTGCATCAAGGACTTCTCAGCCCCGGGTGCTTACCATGTAGGTCTGTTGTAAATTGCCTACTTGCTAGGCCTATATTTTAGGCCAAAATGTTGTGTATGGTTTTTCATCAAATGCAAGGTGTCATTGAAATTTAAGTACCATTATTTTATGTCTACTAGGACAGAAACAGTGCTGCAAGTTAAAATCTAACATGCCACTGTAAGATGCATCCCAACTTCAGAGATGTTACAATGTGAAGAAAGCCTGGCCAGTGTTGCTCAATGGTTGAGCACTGACCTATGAATCAGGAGGTCACATTCGATTCCAGTCAGGGCACAGGGCCAGGTTTGGGCTCATTCCCCCTTGTGTGGTGTGCAAGAGGCAGCCGATCAATGATTCTCTCTCATCATTGAGGTTTCTCTCCCTTCCTCTTTGAAATCAATTAAAAACAAACAAACAAACAAAAAAAACGTATTTTTTTAAATGCGAAGAAAAATTACATCTTAAAATGGACAGGATTTTGTAATTCAAAGCTCTGCTCCTCCAGACTTCTCCCCACCCCGAACCACAGGGACGGCTGTCAGCATGATCTGGGGCAGTGGTCGGCAAACACATTAGTCAACAGAGCCAAATATCAACAGTACAACGACTGAAATTTCTTTTGAGAGCCGAATTTTTTAAACTTAAACTTCTTCTAACGTCACTTCTTCAAAATAGGCTCGCCCAGGCCGTGGTATCTCGTGGAAGAGCCACACTCAAGGGGCCAGAGAGCCGCATGTGGCTCTCGAGCCGCGGTTTGCCGAACACCGATCTGGGGAGTTGCTCAGTTCTGCCAGGTGGGAGCCAAGTCTACGGAGGGTCATACTTCTCCCCTTCAAGTTGCCTGTCTCCCCCTGCACCCCCCCCCCCCAAAAAAAAGAGAGAGGCCCCACACGCAGAGACACTTACAGGCAATTTCACCGACGGTGCTGATGATCATGGTCCGGTAGTCAGAGGGGGCAAACATGTGGCAGTAACAGGGGCTCCAGCTCTCCTCTGAGACCCCCACGCTCACCACCACCTCAGATTCGGACCTTGAACCACAGACCAAGTCCCGCTCCAGCAGCTCGGTGCTGGCCAGGATGACCCCGTAGTAGGCGAAAGAGATGCCCAGCCTGGGAGTGAGGAAAAATGGACATGAGAAAAGCGGGTGCCACTAGGAGCTAGCTGCAGGGAGATGTGAGAGGGCTTTAGGTGGAACACAGGGGGGTGGGGGTGGGGGGCTGGAAAGAGGGGAGAGCAGGAGGAAAGGGCAGGGAACCAACCCCAGCTCACATATCTGGGGGACTGGGGGACCGGAAGCCACCCAGTGCGAAACAGATTTGTAAGATCTGGGTTAGGAGGACCCTACAGGCCCAGTGAAGGAGTCTGAAGCCTAGATTCGTTTTCTGTCGCTGCTGCAATGAGTTCTCACAAACTTTGTGGCTTAAAACAACACACGGCCAGTATCTCACAGCTCTGCAGGTCAGAAGTGCTCTGGGTTTGGCTGACTCCTCTGCTCTAGGTCTCAGAGACAAACACGAGAGTGTAGGCAGGTCCTAGGCCTTTCTGGGGGGAGAATCCATTTCCCAAGCTCACCCGGATGGTTGGCAGGATTCAGCCCCGTGGGGCCGGAGAACTCGTAACGGTTTCCTCGCCGGCTGTTGACCAGTTGTTCTCCGCGTCTCCCTGCTCCCCTCACTCCCCATCTTCGAAGCCAGTGGCACGGGGTTGAGACCGTCTCATGCCCTGAATCTCTCTGTCCTCTCCTTCCGCCTCTTCTGTTTTCCCTCCTCCAGCTCTCTGCCCAGCTGGACGTAGTTCTCTGCTCTTAAGGACGCAAGTGATTCTATGGGGCTCACCTGCCGGGTCGGAATCCTCCCATTTTAAGGCCCTGATCTCAATTACATCTTCACATCAGCACCTGAATCAGTGTTTGATCGCATCAGCAGGAGTGCGGGTCATCTTGGGGTCACTTTAGAATTCTGCCTAGCGCAAAGGGTCTTTAGCAGGCTGTGACGAGCCACGGACGGTTTTTGTGTTTGCTTTATCTTTTCTCTCCACTCTTTGGTAGATTAACTTTTCTGTATGTTATTTTTATATCTCATTAAAGACATCTATTCAAGTCAAGAAAAAATAAAAAATATCAGCCTCCCAGTTTTTCAGAAATGGTTGCAAAAGCCAGCTGAAAAAAACACGTGGGGACAACCAGAGGAAATCATGTATGTCCTGGGTATTGATTGGGTGAGAGTAACCTGAAGATCATTACTCTTGTCAGTGTGATTACAGGACTGTAGTCATCTCAGATCGTGGTCGGCAAACTGCGGCTTCCAAGCCACATGCGGCTCTCTGGCCCCTTGAGTGTGGCTCTTCCACGAGATACCATGGCCTGGGCGAGTCTATTTTGAAGAAGTGGCATTAGCAGAAGTTTAAGTTTAAAAAATGTGGCTCCCAAAAGAAATGTCAGTCATTGTACTGTTGATATTTGGCTCTGTTGACTAATGAGTTTGCCGACCGCTGAAGGAAACGCCCTCAAGTAGTTGAGCCTTAGTGAGCTATCTGGGGATGAAATGTCAGAAGCCCTGGGCTTGAAACACTTCAGCACAGGAAAATGTAGCTGAGGCTAAGGGTGAGTTTCCATGACCATCAGATCTGGGTGATGAGCGAACCCAAGTTCATCCAGTATCCTCTCTACTTACACACGTGTTTGGAAATTTTCATTATGAAATATTTAAAAAGAAAACAATCAAAATGTCTCCCCTTGTTATTAAAGACGCTTTAATTTGGCTGATCTCCAAATACTAACAGTATTTAAACATTTTTAAGGTGTCAAGGAGAGACATTAATAATGATGATTATAGCAGAAGGAGGCAGATGGACAACCATCGTCCTGAATTCTCCCTGAATATTCGTTTTGCCTATTTCCTATCTTTATATAAGTGGGATCACATCATATGCATTGCGTTTCTGGTTTCCTTTGCTTGTTATTACATATATATATATATATATATATATATATATATATATATTTGATTTTTTACAGAGAGGAAGGGAGAGAGAGAGAGAGTTAGAAACATCAATGAGAGAGTCATCGATCAGCTGCCTCTTGCACACCCCCTACTGGGGATGTGCCCTCAACCAAGGTACATGCCCTTGACCGGAATAGAACCCGGGACCCCTTCAGTCCCCAAGCCGACGCTCTATCCATTGAGCCAAATCGGTTTCGGCTGCTTGTTATTACCTTTATGAGATTCAGCTGTCGAGTGTTGACCCTCGTTTTCTCATCTTCATTAGTGTATAGTATTCCTGTCTATGAATATAACACAATGTATCCATTATGTTGTTGAGGGACATGGGGTTGTTTGTAGTATGGGCCTGTGACAAATAATGCGCTGGACATTCATGTAAATGTCTTTTGGTAAATGTATGTATGCATTTCTGTTGGGTATGAGCCCATGAGGGGAATTGCTGAGCCATAGGATATGTATATTTTCAATTACGATAGATTTTTCCAAACAGTTTTCCAACATGGTTGTACTAACTTGAACTCTGATCAGCAGTGAATGCAACAATCCCTGTGACCTTACATCCACCCGACACCTGGTCCCGTCCGTCTTTAATCTCGGCCGTGTCTGTGGATTTGTAGTGGTGAACCAGCTTTCCAAGGGTTAGAAAGTGAGGTCCTATGTTGAGATGAAAAATAAAAACACTGTGGACAATTAGGATTCTTTTCTTTCTCTCCTTCTTTTAAATGGTTACTTATTTCTTTGGTTGGTGGTATTAGTGAAAAGGTGAGATTGCGGGGGTCTTCCTTGTGTTTTTCTCCCCAGTAGCATTTTGAGTAGATTTACTTTGGTAGGCTTTCGATAAAACTCATTTTGATATAATTACATTTCAAAAATCCTTCATCTAGGATAGGCTTTTTAATTTAAAAAATTTTTGAGAGAGAGACAGAGACAGAGAGAAAGAGGAAGGGGGAAAGAGAAACAACAATTGGTTGTCTTCTATATGTGCCCTGACCAGGAATCGAAACCGCAACCTTTTGGTTGATACAAGAAGATACTCCAACCAATGAGCCACCAGCCAGGGCTGAAGTAACTACATTCCTACCAGATGACCCAGATCTGTAATGTGGTCCGCAAATATTTAGCATCCAACAGGTCTGCAAACCTTCCTCTTTTATCCTAGGGTAGTGAACAGAGGAAAACAGAATAGGTGTAGTGGGTTAAGGGCAAGCAAAGATATCTCTAATATTTTAGATATTAAATACAAACAACATATTTTAAAACAAGGACAACATGGGATGTGGGGAGGTAAAATAACCACTGAAATCCTATGAGTACATCCCACCCAATCCCGTAATCATTTTTTTAAAATATATTTTTATTGATTTTTTTACAGAGAAGAAGAGAGAGGGAGAGAAAGTTTCTCTCATAGAAACATCAATGAGAGAAACATCGATCAGCTGCCTCTTGCACACCCCCTACTGGGGATGTGCCCGAAACCAAGGTACATGCCCTTGACTGGAATCGAACCTGGGACCTTTCAGTTCACAGACCAACACTCTACCCATTGAGCCAAACCGGTTTCGGCCCCATAATCATTTTTAACACATGCATCCCAGCCAGTCTTTGCACACTTATTTTCATTGGCAGGTACCCGAACTCATGGAATTTATGATTCTAACACTTTCATTCATCCTTTTCTCACTGGTGTAGAACATAGGAAGATACATGAAAATAACCATAAAATTGATGGGATATTCTTTATTATTAACATTAAAATGAAAAACCTAACATTTACAAAGGGTGTGCGGCCTTTATAAGGAAAAAATGTCAAAAATTTTTATAAGAGAATAGAAGATGGATTTCTTTTTCTTTCTTTAGGAAAATTAGCAAATGTTCTTATCCACAGTTAGTACCTATTAAATACTTTTGCATAAAAATAAACGAGGATGAGTTCCACATTATTGACAGCAATGGGTTTTATGTAAAGTTAGGGAAACTTTGGGGTTCTCAGCTGAAACCAAACACTCTTTTCTCACAAATAGACCTGGAATCAAAGGGCTTTTGAGAGAGACCAGGAGTGTGGTCTGGGAGTCCAGGATATCTCTCTCTCTCTCTCTCTCTCTCTCTCTCTCTCTCTCTCTCTCTCTCTCTCTCTCTCTCCTTTTTGTTAATCCTCACCAGAAGATATTTTCCCATTGACTTTTAGAGAGAGTGGAAGGGCGAGAGAGACAGGGAGACACATCGATTGGTTGCCTCCTGCATATACCCTGACCAGGGCCAGGGAACCTGAAACCAATTGATCTCAGAGAGAAGAAGGGAGAGGGAAAGAGAGAAATATCAACAACGGCAGGACAGGTGAAGAAGACGGAAAGGTGAGGGAGAGGTCGCGTGAACGCCAGGAGCCTGGGACTGAGCGCCTGCAGGTGGGTGAAGGGGTGTCTGGGCTGGTGTGTGGAAGGAACGCAGATTTCCCTGAGAGTCCTGAAACGGTAAAATTTGAACACCGCATTTTGGTGTGTGTGTGTGTGTGTGTGTGTGTGTTTTAAAGATTTGATGACGTTTGTAACTGATATCAAAAGAAGATGAGGCCCGTACAAGATAATTATGTGTTAAACCAACCTCTCACCTATAAACAATGATGCCAATCCTGTGACTGCCTCGGCCAGGCAGGTGTGATTGTGCCCATTGTATCGACGAGGAAAGCGGAGGGAGGGAACTGACCAGGGCTCCCTGCGGGATCCAGTCCCATCCGCTCTGCTCTTGTCCCTGTTCCCTCCAGGGGCCAGCCTGGAGCCCGATGGCCCCTTCCCGCCAGCCTCCCATGACTAAGGGGGTTCCGGGTGGGCCCCGCGCGGGGAGGAGACGCCCTCCGGGCACTCACCAGGACGGGCTCCACCAGCTGCCCCTCGGGCATGGCCGAGCGGTTCACCCTGGCAATGTGCTGCAGCGTAGCCAGGGCGGCCTGCGTGTTCCCGGTGGAGACGTTGAACCGGGCAGATTCCGGGATAAACTGGACACAGAGGATAAAGAACAGGGGAGCGGCGGCTGCTGCGAACCCAGGGGCACGACTGTTGTCTCCATGTGCGGACCACACCGTCCCCTTCCCAGTGACGGGCGAGCGTAAGGGCGCACAGCAGAGCGGGCACGCTCTCGCATCCCCGGTGGAAGGTTGCATTCTCCTTCTCATGGACAGTGTCACCTTACACAACAGCAGGCTCAGTTCCAACTGGGCTCAGCATATTTAATGCAATGAAATCCTTGTCTCATGGGTAACTATCTCCCCCCCTACCCCCAGGCTCCCTGTGCCCCTTCCCTGCTCTGCCACGCCAGGCCTCTGCAGGAACCCCAAGACCTCCCCACAATGCAACAGGCCACAGCAGAAGGCGTCTCCAGCACCCACAGGGCCTCCTGAACGTCAAGGCCCTCACCCCACTGATGGTTAAAAACTTTGACCACCACACTCAGCATCAGCACAGGCCTCCACGGAAGCTGGGACCTGGAGAGTCAACGTGGCCTGCTCCCACCCCCTCGTGCCTCACGCCCAGTCCAGACTGGTCGGTGCTTCCTCAGGAAAACATCTCCGCAGGCGGCACCTCGCTCCCCGCTCCCACAGCCAATGGGCGGCTTGGATCCTCCTCCCCTCCCGCCAGGAGTGTCCACACACTTTCTTTTTTTTAATAGATTTTATTGATTTTTCACAGAGAAGAATTGAGAGGGATAGAGAGTTAGAAACGTCGATAAGAGAGAAACATCGACCAGTTGCCTCTTGCACACCCCCTACTGGGGATGTGCCCTTGACCAGAATCGAACCCGGGACCCTTCAGTCCGCAGGCTGACGCTCTAGCCACTGAGCCAAACCGGTTTCGGCTGTCCAGACACTTTCTAACTGCCTTCCTGCCTTCTGCTGCCCAGGCTCCATCCAGCCCTAAGTCAGCTGCCCAGCCCAGAACCCCTCTCCCATCCCCAGAGCCCCTGGCCTGTGAGGCTCTTCCTGATCTGGACACAGGCCTGTCTCCCCAGCACCCCTCTCCCCAGCACCCTTCCACCCAGCCACCTACCTCCCTGCTCTCCCCCAGACACATTCTGTGCATTCACACCCTCGGACAGGTCTTGCTCGTTAGCCCTGCCACCATGCTTATTGAGACGGATCCTTAAATAAAGGGAAGAGGGGGGAAGGGACCCAAAGGCCACTGGACCACTGCAGGGAGGGATGGAGGGAGCCCAGGGAGCTTCCTCACCTTGAAGGCCAAGATGAGGATGATGCCGGGAATGGAGGCGATGCGGATGAGCCAGCGCCACCCGATGGTGGGGATGACCACAGAGGCCAGGCCGATGATGAGCAGGGAGCCCGCAAGCCAGAAGACCTGGGGCAAGAATGGAAGATGAAATCCCTCCTCGCAAACTGGCTTCAGACTTCCTCTCTCAGGAGCTGCCCTGCCCAGCATTTTACCAAAGGAAGACGGTGAGAGGGAGAGAGGGTCTTTGACTGAGGAGCCCACGTTCTGGTTCCACTCAGGGCCTGGCTGACTGGGGGCAGGGATTTCACTGCTCGTGGCTTTGTTTGCTAGCCTGAGTGGGGGACTCCTCGACGGAGGGTCAATAATGTCACCAAAGTTTTAAAGATCTGGCACCCCAGACCTTGGCTTTTATTTTCTCAAATAAGCAATTCACTGGTTCAGAATTCAAGGTACGAAGGAGAACACTATAAAAAGGTTTTCTTCTCTACTTTCCTGCCACCAATTTCTCTCCTCAGAAAGGACCTGTGTTCGGTTTGTCACATATTCCTAACACTGTTCTAAATATATACAAGCTAATAAGAGTATAGTATTATGCTCTTCTCTTTTTTCACAAATGGTCACGTAGTATAACTAATGCTTACACTTTGCTTTTCACACAAACATATAACTTGGAGATAATTTTATATCAATGAATCACATGGCAGCCAATTACCAGCAGGCCTCATTGGTTGGGAATTAGTACAGTTCTGAATGTTCAGCCTGAACATTATTTCCACTTTGGAAAATGCAGAATAAATGATCATTCTATTCCACCTCACAGAGATGGAGAGAGGATAGTATTCTAAAAGATTCCTTGGGGGACTACTTAGGGGTGGCTATTTCATTAACAAGAGATTCTACTACAAAAATGCAAACAAGAGCTGAAACCAGTTTGGCTCAGTGGTAGAGCATCAGTCTGCAGACTGGAAGGTCCCAGGTTCGATTCTGGTCAGGGGCATGTACGTACGTTGGCTGCGGGCACATCCCCGGTAGGGGCTGTGCAAGAGGCAGCTGGTCGATGTTTCTCTCTCATCTGATGTTTCTAGCTCTCTATCTCTCTCCCTTCCTCTCTGTGAAAAATCAATAAAATATATTTTAAGAAAATGCAAACAAGATGATCTCAGGAAGTGATCAGGGACAACCTTTCTGAAGGGACAATGGATAGGAAGGGCAGTAACGAAGCATTGCATAGACCAGGGGGCAGGTGACATGGCACTGGAGAGGATTTTAATAATGGAATGGCAAAAATATTAAATGTTTAACTCATGGATATGACACACATTTTGGAGGCCAAGGGGACAGGACTGACGGACATTGTAGCTGAGGGCCCGTTATAGGGGACAAATCAGTAGGGCTTGGCAATTCCTTAAATGGAAGTAAGGGAAAGGGAGGGGCCAGGGATGATTCTTGAGTTTGTGGCTCAGATGACTGAAGGGACAGGATTTGCTATTAACTGAAAGCAAGTGAGAGTCTTCAGAGGAGGAAGAAGAAGAGATTAGTTCTATGAATGTTGTATTTGAGGAACACGTAGGATAGTCAAGTTGTTATCAGGTAACTGGTCATCTGGATCAGAAATTCCAGGAGGTGCTCCTGGAGGTAGATAAGACTTTGGGGGGCCATAAGCACATAGTTAGCTAATCACATAGGAATGAATTAAATGACCCAAAGAGACCTGGAAAATAAGACAAGCAGGGAGAATGCATAACCAGGAAGTATGCGAAGGACTGAGTGGCGGGTGCAAGAAGCAACGCCCACAGAGCAGGACCATACCAAGGAAATCATGTTAAATGTAAAAAAACAAACAAACAAAAAAAAAACAACCCCTAAGTATTAAAAGTGTGTGATCAGAAGAAGAAGTCTGGGGGGAATGTAAAGAACTATTTACTGTTGTTATTCGTGATCCCCAAGGACCACCAGGGAGCCGAGTCCAATGCAATAAACAAAAGAGCCTCTTCCATGCTAGCATGGGCTCTGGCCCACTCACGCCGGCAGCATGGCGGAAGAGAGCGAATTTCTCCCAGTCCAGGGGTTTTACTCCGGTTAGTGGTGATGTCACTGCCTCGGCTAGCCCTGATTGGTTGGGTGAGGGTTAGGGATAACTCCGTCCTGCGGGGTGGAGTCGGGAGCTCACCCTCGCCCCGCCCTGCCCTCTCACTGTTTGTTAGGTTTCTAATTTGTTGTTGTTGCCTAAATTTAGTATCAGAAACATTAAAAATAAATGTAAAAGCAGTGTCCTACTACTTTACTGTTGTCTTTTTCCTGGGACCTCTGAAAGGCCAGCGCTTTTAGACAAGGGTGGCATCAACAGCAAGACTAGCGCACCTAGGTTGCCGTGGCCTCTCCTCAGTGGCCAGCAGGCCGGAGGGGCGGGAGAGCACCCCCATCCTCTCCCGGGACAAATGGCTCATCACGGGGGCTGCAGCATGGCATGGCCCCCCCGGCGGGGTCGGTGACAGACACTAGTGTCCTGAGGAGGGAGGTGAGATGCCCTAAAGGGGGTGGTGGCTATGTCCCTCCATAGAGCACGTGCATTGCAGATGTGTGCCTGGGCTCCTGGCATTGCAGTGAGGTCAGCCATGCTGTGCTCTCAGCGCTGCTGCGGGGGACAGAGTCCTGGCTCAGGGACCTCGGGACGGGCCTCTGCTGCCCAGCATTCCAAGCAACAGACAGTGGACCCACCCTAAGAGCAGCCAAGCAGCCAGAGGAAACCCCGGAACCCCGTATTCTCTCGGTGCAGAAGCCTGGGCAGAGATCCTATTTACCTTACCTGGGACAAGGGAAGCATGTAGCCTCGGTATTTGGTGGGCAAAAATTCAGTCTTGATAATCAGCCTACACAGGAAGGGGAGAAAACATCATTTTGTTTTTATTTTTAAAAAATATATTTTATTGCCGAAACCGGTTTGACTCAGTGGATAGAGCATCGGCCTGCGGACTGAAAGGTCCAGGTTCGATTCTGGCCAAGGGCTTATACATTGGTTGTGGGCAGATCCCCGGTAGGGGGTGTGCAAGAGGCAGCTGGTTGATGTTTCTCTCTCATCAGTGTTTCTAGCTCCCTATCTCTCTCCCTTCCTCTCTGTAAGAAGTCAATACAATAAAATAAAAAAATATGTATATATATATTATTGATTTTTTATAGAGAGGAAGGAAGAGGAATAGAGAGCTAGAAACATCGATGATTGATGAGAAACACTGACCAGCTGCCTCCTGCCCACCCGCTACTGGGGATGTGCCCAAAACCAAGGTACATGCCCTTGATTGGAATTGAACCCAGGATCTTCCAGTCCGCAGGCCAACACTCTATCCACTGAGCCAAACCAGTTCTGGCAATAATTTTGTTTTTAGGAAACCAAATAACTCATGTGAACAGTCATCATTTTTCTTGCCACAGTGATAAAGACTGAGAAGACACGAACATTCATCCTGGTGAAGTGGTAAGACTGTGTCTATGGTTCCCAAAGAGCAGGTCGGGATCTCCAGACACCCAGGGCGCTCCTGAGACCCTGGCACTGTCCTGGGTGACAGCGACGCCGGGCAGCACCAGGGAGGCCGAACGGAGGCCTCACCCGGATCCAGGTCCTTGTCACCGAACAAGAAGGAGGGCATGAGCGTGACAGGAGGACTTAGCAAAGCACAGGGCGTTTTTTTTGTTGTTGTTGTTTGTTTGTTTGTTCGTTTGTTTTAATATATTTTATTGATTTTGTACAGAGAGGAAGGGAGAGAGATAGAGAGTTAGAAACATCGCTGAGAGAGAGTCATCGATCAGCTGCCTCTTGCACACCCCCTACTGGGGATGTGCCCACAACCAAGGTACATGCCCTTGACCGGAATCGAACCCAGGACCCTTCAGTCCCCAAACCGACACTCTATCCATTGAGCCAAACCGGTCTCAGCAACACAGGGTGTTTATTACAGCAATAGGACTTGCCTGAGAAGTGAGAGTGGGGGACCTTGGAGAATGAGACGCCCCGGTGGTGTCTGGGAGGGAGGTTTTTGTGAAACATGGGCAAAGCGGGCATAGGGCGGCCCTCTGCCTCTGACACTGGTGGGGTGACTGCCTGCCCGGATCCTCCTTGTCTCTCCTCCCCGATACTGATTTCTTTTTGGTTCTTTCAACCAGGACAGAGGGCGGGTGGAGGGAGGAGACAGATGGTCAGTGAAGGTCATGTCTGTGGTGTTCCAGCCAAAACGGAGAGGAGGAGGGCAGAGCCTCAGACCTTCGTTCCCTGCTCTACTTTTCTGCCTCAGTAGGACCATCCTTTGTTCTACTGAGGAGTTCTCAGGCTCTGCGGTGAGGGCTGGCCCCTGGCGAGACTGAGCCAGGATGACAAAGTTGGAATGCTCCGTCCTGCCCCACCTTCCGGAGGGGAGAGGACGGGAAAGTGGGTTCCTCCTCAGTCAGGCCCACACAGTGACGCCTCCATAGAAGTCTCTGCAGAGTGGCGTTCAGAGACCGGGCGGGTGGCGCACCCCAGCTCCACGGGGGTGGAGGCTCCTGGACTCGGGGGGGGGGGGGGGGGGGGGCCAGGACCTTGTCCTGGGTATGTCTTCATCTGGCTGTTCATTTGCAGCCTTTGTCATAAACAGTCCTCTCATAATAGTTAGTAAGCTGCTTTCCTTGGTTTCTGCCAGCAAATTCTCAAACCTGGGAAGGGGTTTGCAGGAACTTTTGGTCAGCCAGCAGCTGTGGCTAAGTGGTGTTCGAAGTGGGGCTTGCATCTGTGGGAACCGCACGAACTCTGGTAAGTGTTAGGATGAATTGTGGGGCATCCAGCTGGCGCCAGAGACTTGCTGGTGTGGGAAGAATCCACACAGCTGGTGTCAGAAGTGAAGTATTGTCAGAAATAGTGAGGGCAAGCATTAAAGGAAAACAGAAGAGAGTTTCCTAGACAATCATACATCAAAATATAATTGTTACAGCTGTAAAAAATAATATAAACGAACCGGCTTCCAAGGAGAGTTGGAATCCTGGCTTCTGTGGGTTCGGTGGTTAGAGCATTGGCCCAAATACCCAAGGGCTGAGAGTTCAATTCCTGGTCAAGGGCACACTCCTGATGGTTGGGGTGCGTGCGGGAGCCAACCAATCAATGTGTCTCTCTCACATTGATGTTTCTCTCTCCCTCCCTCCCTCCCTCCCTCCCTCCCTCCCTCCCTCCCTCCCTCTCTCTCTCCCCCTCTCTCTCTCCCTCTCTCTCCCTCCCTCTCTCTCTCTCCTCCACTCCCACTATCTCTAAAAATAAATGGAAAAGAACATTATCTCTGATAGCAAACAAACAATCAAACAAAATGGAGTCCGAGCTGTCTTCCCAGACAACTACCTTCTCAAACCTCTGGAATGTTAAAAATGGGCAAAATGACCTTTGGACTGTGCCCGAAGCACTACTGTATTCCAAAGAGCTGCTTGCAAAGATAACAGGAAAGCAGAAAATTCAAGTCATTCTTCAGAATTAGTCACTCTATCAATGTATCTGCACTTGTAGAAATTCCTTCATTAGCTTATCTGCAGCCATAGAAATTCCTTCCTTCTAGTCACATAGTGATTCCCCTTCCCCTTCTCACAAATACGCCCTTGTCTTCAGCTCCCGATTGGAACCCTGGGTTTTTGCAGGGATTGGTGCTTCCTGAATACCTATTTTCTTGGCTCAAATGAGCATTTGTAGCCTGTCACTGTGGCTTTTTATCTTTAGATTAATACAGCTAAGATCCACACAAGAAAACAAGAAGTAAACGTAAAAACTGCTCTTCTGTTTATGTTTTTATTCCTGATGTTATATGAAAACTTGTATGCCCAACATTATTAAAAGTCAAAGCTATGAATTTTCAGTTATCTCTTAGTATTTAAGAGGCATTAGCCTATCTCTTTTGCCAAGAGAAATGTTGGGAATACATTTTCCCAAGTCTGATTTGCTATTCTAAAAAACACTTTGGAAATGAAAATACCACCAAGAGCAGATAGTTCCCTTGATTAATAATGACAGTCAAAGCACAGTTTCTAATTAAGTATGTATTGATTCTGAGAATAGAAGAATACATGAACTCATATCCCATCATCTTTCTAGTTGTCCTTCTCTATTGCAGTTATTAGCAAGGGTTAGGTTTTTTTTTTGTTGTTGTTTTTTAATATATTTTATTGATTTTGTACAGAGAGAAAGGGAGAGAGAGAGTTAGAAACATCGATGAGAGAGAGTCATCGATCAGCTGCCTCTTGCACACCCCCTACTGGGGTTATGCCCGCAACCAAGGTATATGCCCTTGACCGGACTCGAACCCGGGACCTTTCAGTCCCCAAGCCGACGCTCTATCCATTGAGCCAAACCAGCCTCGGCGCAAGGGTTAGTTTTTAATGTGGGCATTATTTGGGTGTCCTCTGAAGGATGCTTTAATATTTTACTGACTTTCTCTTCCGGGACTCATGCCCAGGAAAGAACAATTTCTCCCCCACCACAGTAAGGTAGCGGCTAGGTGCTCTGAAGTCTCCTAATCTATCCTAAGGGCACTTGTTCCCAGGCACCAGGAGAGAATATCCTGAGAGACCTGTTAATGTAAGGGAGGCTCCCAAATTGCTGAAAATTTAGCATCACCCCTTTCACACACACACACACACACGCACGCACACGCACGCACACACACGCGCGCACACACGTGCACGCACGCGCACACACACGCACACACACGCGCACACGCACACACACGTGCACGCACGCACGCACACACGCACGCACACACACGCACGCACACACGCACACACGCACACACACATGCGTGCACGCAAGCACACACACGCGCACGCACACACACACACACGTGCACGCACGCACAATACTGCACACTCATCCCAGGGTACCTTTCAGGGCCCCGCGCCTGCTCTGCATATTGGTTTGACAAAGCCTTAAGTTACAGGGCATGGCACTTTTAAACGGTCATTCCTAAATGTTCCAGGTGCTTATGGCCAAACTGAACTCTTCCAACAAATCCAAGAAAGGAGTAGGTTGTGTTTGGGTGGACATTTTCGTTTCTGACGTCATATGCCACGCTTTGTTTAGCATTTAGTAGAACAAAATAGTATGTATCTTAAAAAAAAAAAAAAAAAAGAGCAACCTCAGGAACAAAAAAGTTAACCCGCTCTCAATCCAGCAGTCTGCTGGCCTGACCATCAAACACCGTTTGGACGGGCCAATAGCAACCAATAAGATAAGACGCCATCAGTTAACAACAAAAAGCTCGAAAATAATTTGCACAAGTGAAGTCGATAAATTTGCAACTTATTGATGGTACTACCAGCCCTCATGATCTAAAAGATAAATCATAAGTAAGGATACTACTACTACTACTACTAATAATAATAACAATACAATAATAGGTGAAGTCTTTACCCTTGTGAATGGCCAGACACGCCGCAGCCCACCATCATCCGCAGGAAGACAAACCAGACGTACGAGGGAGAGAACGAGGTCAGCAAGGAGAAGTAGGCTCCCCACACGAATGAGAGGAGCAAAATCTGAAGCAACAAAAAGAAAGTTATTAATGGGACCTGCCTCCATTGAAGACAGGGGAAAAGGTAATTTTTTATTTCCGTCCAGGTTTTTGCTCCCCTGAGGGGCTGGCCTAACAGTGAGCTCACTGATCTCCCCCAATCATCAAATACCAGCCGTGATGCTCTACATTGTCCGAAAGCCCAGACATTCTGTGGACACAAGGACCTCCCACCCTGCAGAGACTTTTTATGAGTTTATTTGAGGCAAACCAGTGACATCTGCTGGGGAGCAAGATCGCAAACGTTCTGGGGAATGACAGCAGTGCGGTTCCTTTTGGAATTAAGGAGGGAACCTAAGGAAGATTCCACGGAGGTTGGGGAAAGCAAAGCGGGAAATCTCTAAGGTTGGATTGCAGGATACTTCTGTGCTCACTGAAAGTGCCTGTGACTCGCCCCTGTCGCCAAGGATCAGATATTTCGGAGGAGTGTACCTAGGTGCCCAGGAACAGGGACAGGGCTGGCTTAGGGAAGTGACAGGCTGAAAGCATGACTGCCCACCATGACCCACCCAGCTAGGAACTGATGATCACATTACCCTGTGAGGTGACTTTTGCTCACTGGACTTGTCACATTTATTAGAGCCCCTATTTCACTCATAATTCTTTGTTTGTTTGTTTGTTTGTTTGTTTGTTTGTTTGTTTTAATAATTATTTTCCAAATTTATTTATTGATTTTAGGGAGGAAGGAGAGAGAGAAAGAGAGATCTGTTGTTCCATTTATTGATGCATTTATTGGTTGACTCTTGTATGTACCCTGACTGGAGATCGAACCTACAACCTTGGTATTTGGTATACAGGGACAATGCTCTAACCAACTGAGCTACCCGCCCAGGGCCCATTCACAATTCTGAGTTTAGACCATTCTTTGAAATTCCCCAACTGCATTGAGAATGCAGAAGTGTGCCCTCCCTGCTCACAAGGATGTCAGGAGCACAGGAAACATTGTGTGGGAGTTGGATATAAGGAGAAAACTTAAGGTATTTGTTTTTTCTCTAATTGTAAGAATAACACAAGTTCATAGTACAAAATATGGAAGAAAAAGCCTCTCCAGCCTGGCTCAGTAGTTAAGCATCGACCTTTGAACCAATCGGTCACGGTTCGATTCCTGGTCAGGGTACATGTCCGGATTATGGGCTCAGTCCCCAGTGCAGGGCATTCAGGTAGCAGCTTATCAGTGATTCTCTCTCATCATTGATGTTTCTATCTCTCACTCCCTTCCTCCCTGAAATCAATAAAAAATATATTTTAAAAAAAATCTATTTGCTAGTAAAATAAATCACCCTTAATTCTCCAACTCAGAGAAAATACTCTTAACATGATTTTATCCAATTTCCCTTGTTTCTTAAAAAAATGTTTAATTGATTTTGAGAGACAGAGAGAGAGGAACATTGACTGGTTGTTCCAGTTATTTATGTATTCCTTAGTTGATTCTTATATGTGTCCTGACCAGAGATTGAACCCACAACCTTGGTTTCTTGAGATGACACTCTAACCAACTGAGCTGCCTGGCCAGAGCCAAAAAACCTATTTTTAATGACTGTAAAATAGTCCATTGGAAAGATTCACTATAATACATATACTATAATGCATAAACCTTTCCCCCGTCATTTAATATTGAAGTGATTTCACATTTTCTATAAAAATGAGCTGTGATGATGAATGAACATAAATCTTTGCAGTTCTCCAATGATCTAAACAGGCTAGATTTCTGGAATGACAATGTCAGATGAGGAGGATGGATATTCTCAAGGTTCTTGATCTGCCAAACTAATGGTCAGAAAAACTATACTAATAGTATGCAAGGGCATCCATACACGTGTAGGTTTCTTAGAGAAAAATTCCTTTTAAATTTGATGTTTGAAATAGACTAGATAAGAAAAAAATTATAGCCCTAACTGGTTTGGCTCAGTGGATAAAGTATTGGCCTGCAGACTGAAAGGTCCCAAGTTCAATTCTGGTCAAGGGCATATACCTTGGTTGCGAGCACATCCCCAGTAGGGGGTGTGCAAGAGGCAGCTGATCGACGATTCTCTTTCACCAATGTTTCTAACTCTCTATCCTTCTCCCTTCCTCTCTGTAAAATATCAATAAAATATATTTAAAAAAAAATAGAACTGTTATATCTAGCTTTTGAGGATATAGATAGTGCTTCAGGTGTACTGTCTAACTCAGTAACCAGGAGAGAACCACGAGCCTCAAATTCCTCATGAAGGCACACACCATGGTGGCTAGCCTCCTCACCTTCTGCAGAATTTCTAAATTAAAGGTCAGTGATTCCAGAACATTGTCTGTTCTCTCACTATCCACATACCTCTGCATCGCAAACAGTTCCAAGGCAGTTTGGTTGTTTACAAACCCAACCTTATCCTTCCTATACATTCTTTCCGGGGCACCACGATGAGCCAGCCTTATCTTTCTGATGCATTCCTTCCATTTGATGTAAAACCCTCAGACACTGAAGTGTATGCACCCTGAGTGGAACTCCTGAGGTGCCAAATGTGCTTTTGCCTACTTTTCTACCTCTACGAGCGCCACTCACTTCTCCAAATTTGGAGCAGTTTCTTGAAGTTTTGCTCTTGGCTGTAGCCCTCAATAGGCTCCAATAATATTCTTTCTCAAATTTATAGAGATCCACGGTTCTTTTCATTGACACAACATAATTTTGCTTTTGATAACTCCTGAGACTGAATGCTTTTCAAGGTTTCTTAACCATTTGTACTTCTTTTGTAAATGCCTTCTGTGCTTTTTACACTTTTTTTGAGATACTGGTGGGGGCTTTTTTGGGTGTTGTGTGTGTGTTTCAAGAACAAAGAAAAGTTTATTTAGAAAGTCGCAGCGTAGAAGAAGTGAGCCAGCTGGGCAGCAAGAGCTCAGGGAACGAGTTACAGGGGCAAAGAAGCTTGGGGAAAAGAGGCAAGAAAAATGCGCCTGGGGCAGGGGGTGCGGAAGGCACGGGTGTGCTCCTTAGAGAGAGCCCCAAGTCACCTGTGTTTTCATGTGAATTATAAGAGCCTATGATATTTATTTGTGAACTTCAAACATACAGCCAATTCTGTTAATGCTTTGCTTTGGGGCCTCTCCCTTTGAGAGGCATTCCCGTGAGAAAACCGACAAGAAAAGAAGAGAGACCTGGGTTTGTAATCAGAAGACATAGATTTGTCTTAATGTTTAATCTCAGTGTGTGTGTGTGACCATAAGCAAGTTGCTCGGTTTCAAAGTTAACTAACATGAAGCAGCTATGTTTCTATGTGCAGATGCCACATTCTAACTATGCACATCCACTAACGCCTTGCCTGGACCACAGGGCCTCGTACAGGGCCAGATGCCTCAGGAAAGATGAGAAAGGGAGAAGACAGGCCTGGAATTCAGGCAAGTGATGTCAGTGGAGGGCATTTCTGCACTTTCTATCTTGGTATTGACAGAGAAATGTCTGCTAAAGAGAAGCGGTAGTGTCCTAACTGGTTTGGCTCAGTGGATAGAGTGTTGGCCTGTGGACTGAAAGGTCCCAGGTTCAATTCCGGTCAAGGGCATGTACCTGGGTTGTGGGCACATCCCCAGTAAGGAGTGTGCAGGAGGCAACTGATGGATGTTTCTAATTCTCTAACCCTCTCCCTTCCTCTCTGTAAAAAATCAATTTTATATATATATATATATATATATATATATATATATATATATATATATATATATATATGAGAGAGAAAGAGAGAGAGAGAGAGAGAGAGAGAGAGAGAGAGAGAGAGAGAGAAGCAGTGGTAACATGGCCACAAAACAACACACAGAAGAAAATTACAAATCACCTTTCAAGGCCAACCTACCTTCCAGCGTCCATATCTGTCAGCCAGGAGGCCAAAGATGATGCTGAAGACCATGTAGCCAAAAAACACCATCTGGGAGAAGGAGGGAGAAAAAATTGTCCTCGAAGCAGAGTTGTGATGACCTGCTAATTCAATGCATTAAGCGTGCGTCCACCTCAGTCCCAGGTAGACCAGAACTATGCACGGGGAGGAGTGAAGAACAAAGATCCCCCTTGACTCCCATTAAACCTGTTCAAGGCTTCAGAGGCTTCTCCTTGGCAGACCTCGCACCTGGGAACACCGCCACCAGGTGGAAACGGGTGGGAAGAACAGGCAACTGCTCTCCCTCTGATCCAAGATGATGGCATTGGCCCTACTCAACTTAGATGGATAATTGTGAATTTCCATATTAATAACTTAAAAAAAAAAACACCTCCATTCATGCTTCAGTTCTACACACAGCTGAGACTTCTAGAAGCAGTCTCCTGTATGTATTATAGATACACCTAAACTTTTATCAAACACCCAACCAACCATTCATGTAGAAACACCCTTCAAATCAAATACAAACCCACCACTTTTCCTTACTTGTTCTCACAATGTCTTTCCCTAAAGAAAACTCAAGAACCTGGATAGAATGCCAGCATGCTAACTCAGCCTGAGCTGTAACAAATGTGTGTGCCTTTGGCAGCCCCAAGCTTCACTGCTTTGCCTTCCAGTAAGATTGTCGGCTGGCTGCTTCCAGGGTAATCAGAGGGGAGGTGGAAGCTTTAACACTTTTCCCGTGAAGATCTCTTTCTCTCTGCTGCCTGCGTTGCATTCTCTTCACCCCTCTTCCTTACTCTCCCTAAGGAAGACCAGACGCTTTCCTTCCACAGGGAACTATGGAAAACAACAGTATCGTCTCTATTCTTGGATGACAAAAGCCATGCGCTTCCTCTGTGCGCTGTCCTTTCTAGAAAGAGATGGGAGGGGGGAGTCAGTGTTTTCTAAGTGCCAGGCCCAGACACTGCTTCGCCACAGGGCAACCTAACCAGCCCCCTGCAACATGGTAAAAACAGGACGCTGGGATACACTTTGCATGGATCTTAATTCACTCAATAGAAAGGGCTCTTTTTACCCTGGAATAATTTTATTTCTGATGGTTGGCAATAAATAACATGCCCTCTGTTTTTGAAAGTTGGTGGTTGTTGATTGCAAGATTTTATGCCTCTTCTAATGACCTTACTTGCCAAATACATACATGTTCTAATGTCAGCCACTCCATTTAAGAAATATATTCTATCACCTGGTGAATCCCAAATTTTGGTTCCCCTGAAATTAAGTTCCTCCAGCCATACACCGCTTAGCGATGAGGATACACCAAGAAATGCGTTGTCTGGTGATTTCATCACCAAGCTAACATTATAGAGTGCACTCACCAAACCCAGGTGGCATGCCTACAGCACAGCCAAGCTCTGTGGTATAGCCCAGTGGTCGGCAAACTCATTAGTCAACAGAGCCAAATATCAACAGGACAACGATTGAAATTTCTTTTGAGAGCCAAATTTTTTACACTTAAACTTCTTGTTAACTCCACTTCTTCAAAATAGGCTCGCCCAGACCGTGGGTATAGCCTCTGGTTCCTAGGCTGCAAGCCTCTACATCCTGTTACTGTACAAACAACACAAGGTTAAGTTAAGCACATGGAAATGTGATGCAATCAAGAGACACGGTCAACATGTGATGGATGAGGCTGCTGTCGGCACAATACGTGTGCTGTTTTATAGCAAACTGAATTCCTCTTTGCAGCAGTGTTTGGTGTGAAACTCATAAAGCTATTCACATGAGAAAGTTGAGTGTATAACACAAACAATTCAATTTGGTGGTTGGTTAAGCCACGATGGCCACACTAAGTAACCTCCTAGTGTTCTGAACTAATGGTTAAAGCATAGCTAACCCATGGCTTAAGGGTTACTTTCTCGCCAAAACCAGTTTGGCTCAGTGAATAGTGCATCAGCCTGCAGACAGAAGGGTCCCGGGTTCGATTCCTGTCTAGGGCATGTATCTTGGTTGCGGGCACATGGATGTTTCTAACTTTCTATCCCTCTACCTTCCTCTCTGTAAAAAAAAAAAAAAAAAAAAAAAAAAAAAAAAATATATATATATATATATATATATATATATATATATATATATAATTATTATTTTTTTAAAGAGTTACTTTCTCTGATTTGCCTTTATCTCTTTGGGGCTTTTGCTAGGAACTGGAAAATAAGCAATTCGAAGTTATGCTCTCAAGGGAAGGGGGGAAAAAAAAAAAAAAAAACAGGAAGAAAGGCCTCAAATGCTAGTTGAAGCTGCAAACCCATCAGCTTTGAAAGCCAACAGACTAAGGGTGGGGCATCCTTTGAGTCTCGCCCTGTGGGATGGAGAAGGGGGCAAGAGCCCTGGTCTCCAGTTGGCTCATGTGCAGCCCAGGAAGCAGGCACTCACCGTGGTCACCAGTGCCACCTGCCAGTTCTCCAGCTGCCACTCACAGCGGATGACGGGAGACACGACCGCGATTAGCATGATCTCCATGGCCTCGGCAATCTGAGGAAAGAGGAGGGGACATGCCGTGTCTGAGTGCCAGCCTGTCACCACTGCCCCCACACCTGCCTTCCACCACCCTTTAGTCCTACCCCTCCCCCCTCCCCCATTTAGGGAGCACCTATGGCGGACCCACTTAGCACTACTTGAACATTTTGAAATGTCCCCGGATTTATCGCTCATGTTTACTTGTGATTCTGGGGGTGCATGCATTTGCGTTGTGTCTGAGGGAGCTGTGCGAGGCCAGACACTTAGCTAGTGGCTCCTCACACCATCCACTTCCACCTAGCTTTGTTGTTTCCTCACTCATCATCATGGGGATCTCAGGGCACCCCTTAGCGAATGGATCTGTAAAACAGCCCCTTTCTCAAGAAGTTGGGATGGGGAGACAAGGGTCATGAAAGCTAGACAACAAAGTAACAAGTGCAAACAATGAGTTCATCATCAGGAAAGAATGTCTACTTAGAAAACAGTATAAAATGTGCTACTAAATATTCCTTTCTTTTTTGGATACTTTTTCCAATTGATTTTGAGAGACAGTGGAAGGAAGGAAGGAAGGAAGGAAGGAAGGAAGGAAGGAAGGAAGGAAGGAAGGAAGGAAGGAAGGAAGGAAGGAAGGAAGGAGAAGTAATCTCCATTCCCACCGGTGCTGAGGGAGGGAGGGAGGGAGGGAGAGAGGGAAGGGGGAGGGGGGAGGGAGGGGGGAGGGAGGGAGGGAGGGAGGGAGGGAGGGAGGGAGGGAGGGAGGGGGGAGGGGGGAAGGGAAGAATGGATGGAGACACTGATGTGAGAGAGAAACATTGATGGATTGCCTTCCACACACACCCTGCCTGGGGCCAGGGATGAACTTGCAACCCAGGTACATGCCCTTGACCAGGAATCAACCCCAAGATCCTTCCGTGTGTGGGCCGACACTCTAAACACTGAACACACCGGCCAGGGCCTAAATACTCCTTTCAACAGAAAGGTTAATCATCATACTCTGTCCATATCGTGCTATCCGTTACAGGGTGAGTGTATCTCCCAGGGAAATGACGTGGATGCTAGAAAAGAATTGTTAGAATAAATAGAAATAGAGGATAGAACTCCAGCTCAGAATAATGAAGAAAGTCAAAGATAACTCTGAGGTTTTGTACCTGGAGGAAGGGATGAAAAAGTCATCATTAGAAGGGAAAGGGTATCAAGGGTGACCAGGGGGGAATGAATTGTCGGGGACACGTTGGCTTACACACTCCCTGCCCCCGTCACACCTGCCCGAGGGGACATCCCGGAGCCGAGGCCAGTGCACGGCTCTGTGCCCCACAGGAAAGGGCCTGGAGACTCACCCCCGTGCTGCCCATGATGAGGAACAGGGCGATGTGGAAGCGCCCGAACCCGATGGTCTCCACCGCCTCCTCCACGGTGAAGGTCTTGGGCTCTGAGGCGGGAAAGCACAGAGAGAGGAGCGGCCTCTGCGGGCAGGAAATGTGTGTGGACCATGGCTCACCCCAGAGGATGCTGGGAAACCAATCCCTGTTATAAAAACTAGTAAATAGGAGGGAAGGGGGTGGAATTAAGCAGCAGCTTGAGGTCAGAGACGTCCGGATCATCTGACCTTTCTTCGGCTGTGGCTCCGGGGTTCCCAGGCTCAACCTGCGGAGGCTGAGGATGGTGACCGGCTCCGCCCGCTTGCTGGCCATCTCCGACGGGTCAGACGTCCCCCACGGCTTCCCTGGTGGACACAGGAGAGGGAACACGGGAGGAGCTGTAGCTGAGTACATGCTTTTCTTCTATCGTCACAGGAAATCGTGGGTTTTGCATGTTGATGAATCAGAAACACAGAGAGGTTAAATGGCCACATGAGATCACTGGGCCCAGCGGCTAGCAGTCAACCCTGCCGAGGCCAGGTGAGCCCCGGACCAGCTGACAGCGGCCTCTGAGTGGCGGTGCGGGCGGCTTTACCACAGAGAAGTAATCTCCGTTCCCACCGGTGCTGTATATACAGTGCAAACAGTGCGCTTTCTTTCTTCTTTCTTTCTTTCTTTCTTTTTTTTTTAAAATATATTTTATTGATTTTTTACAGAGAGAGAGGGGGATAGAGAAACATCGATGACAGAGAATCATCGACCAGCTGCCTCTTGCACACCCCCCATTGGGGATGTGCCCACAACCAAGGTATTTGCTCTTGTCCAGAATCGAACCCCGGACCTTTCAGTCTGCAGGCCAATGCTCTATCCACTGAGCCAAACCGGTTTCGGCTACTTTCTTGTGTATTATTTTTATTTATTACTGACAGAAACCCACGCAGCTCTTCTTTTCATTCCCCCTTTCTGTACTTAATACTAAAAAAAGGATTCTTAATCCCCCAAACCAAAAGAAAAATAAACCAAAGAAAGCTGAGGATCAAAAATATTTTTGTAAAATAGTAAAATATTTCCCAAACGCCTTTAAGATACAGTCCTGTACACCCCCCAGTGGGATAAACAGAACTCCTAATCTGGCCTCAGTAATTATACTGTGAGTAATAATACCAGTTTCATTATTTTGATACCAGCACATATATAGGAGGTTCATTTTACCATCCTCTGCTTTCGAAGAAGTGTAACATTTTTCAAAGTAAATGGTTCGCAGAAGGAAATTCTGAGGTTCTTCAGTCACTCGCCAGACGCCTGGTGAGGAGCAGCGGGACGCAGGCAGCCCATCGGGTCCTCAATGCTGGCAGCACCGCCTGCACTGTGTCCCGCGGGCTCCTGGGGGGACTTAGGGGCGTCTGACATGGTCCTCGCCCTGAGGAGTGTTTCATCGAGCTGGGGACCCCGCAGACACGCATAAAAGGATCTGCACCGCAATGTAGACATTCTTTGTTTTCTTCAGACGCTGTCACAGTGACAGATGGATCAATAATGCTCAGAAATAATCCTGGAAACCCCTTTCCCAAGGGACACCATGAAAAGCATGGAAGGCTATTATGTCACAGAGCGGGGAGAGTAAAAATAATTGGTCTCTCAGCCCATGTAGAAGCCCAGAAGACACAACGACAGGCTGTTCTAGAAACTACCCTTGTTTCCTTCCAGACATTGTCCAAACACCCTTTGCAGGGGTGTGCTTTTTTTTTGGGAGGGGGGGTACATTTATTAAAGCGGGGAACAGTGCAATAAGGAAGGGCTTGGGATAGAGGAAGCAATAGGAGGGCAGGAGGGGCTGGCTGCTGCCAGCTCACTGGGGAGTCCGAGAAGAGGGCCAGGGGCAGGTCAGTGGGGGGAGCCTGGGACAAGCTGCTGCCGCTCATGGCTCCCCTGGTTGCAAGTCTCCTGGGGTCCCTTAGAGTTCGGAGTTTTGTGCCTGCGGGGGAAGGAGGGGAAAGAAAAGGCATGGGTGCGTGCTTCAGGAAGGGAGGGTGCTCTGTATCTGGTAACTTTTAATCCTGTGCATGGAGGGCCTCTCTGGTTCTAAAGAGGCCCTCAGTGCACCTTAAATACCGACTGGCTGCATATCATGTTCCTATAGATGGGAAGATGAGCCACAGATTACTGCAATCAAAATATGAAAACAAGGCCATTCGGTGAGGATTAAATAGGGGTGATGTTGCACAACCTTGTGGCTGTACTAAAAATTATTAAATGAACCTGAGCCTGAACCCAAGCCCTAACCCCAATCCTAACCCTAACACTAACCCTAACCCTAACCAAAAAATAAAAATATAAAAAATCACTAAATGATACACTATAAATGTTGAATGTTATTGTATGCAAATTATATAATGTTATTTTTTCCTCTCTAAAAATAGTCATTAAAATCATGGCAGCAGACTTAAAAACCAAAAGGGACTCTTGCCATTTATAGTGTTAAAGAATGGGACAATGTAGTTGGGTGGGAAAATATTTTTTTTTTAATCCCAGCAAGTTCATCTTAAGTTCAGTTACAACTAAATGTTCAATAGTATGTTCAGTCTTCACTCAACATATAACTCTTCTACCAGCCAAGTTTTATGACCTCTCACAGCAATGTAAACATGCTTTACAATTTTAACATTCATAAAGGTTTACGTTTGAGTAATAAGACAATGTGCAGTAAGTCTCCTTGCTCTTTTACTGAGCGGAAAGAAAAGAAACCCAGGAAATCTGCCACTTACCATTGAGCAGAACGAGCTTTAGTGTGGGGTGTGTTTTAACCTGATTAGGTAGCCCCACGGGTCCCAGATATCCTGCTTACTTCTCTTAGCAGCAAAGAGGTGATTTCTCTCAGACGGCCTGACAAAGGTGTTACATCCAAGATAATGGCATTAAGGTTCTCTCAATTAAAGCTGATCCCATAAAAAATAATAAAAATAGCCGAAACCGGTTTGGCTCAGTGGTAGTGTCGGTCTGCGGACTGAAAGTTCCCGGGTTCGATTCCAGTCAAGGGCATGTACATTGGTTGCGGGCACATCCCCGATGGGGGGTGTGCAAGAGGCTTCTCTCTCATCGACATTTCTAGCTCTCTATCTCTCTCCCTTCCTCTCTGTAAAAAAAAAAAATCAATAAAATATATTTTAAAAAATAATAATAAAAATAAAATAAAGCTGTTCCCATAAAGGGAGATTTACAATTGTGATTCCATATATGTATACATACACACACACACACACACACACACATTCAGGGGGCCAAATCATGAAGAGTCATTTATTTTATACTGAGAAGTTTCCAAAAGTAACCAGGTTTACTACAAATATAAGGAGATGATATTAGATAATACACAAACAAACTTATAAAAGTTTTAATAGTTGTCCATGTAAGAAATGTACAAACCTGGAAAGCATTTTTATGAGTTTATTTGAGCCCAAACTGGCAATTGCCTAGAAGCAAGACCTCAAATGCTCCTAAGAATGACGGGGTTTTGTTGTTTGTTTGTTCTCTATTTCAGTTTTATTTTTTATTGAATTTACTGGTTAACAACATTATATAGCTTCAAGTGCATAATTCTACCACACATCATCTGTACACTCATGTTTTTCTTGAAATATTTTTCATTTTTTTTGTTCTTATTTTCTCTTTTATTCTTTTCTCCAGTAAATGTTTGTTGTAGCCAGCCAGTATAGCTCAGTGGTTGAACTAGGAGGCCACAGTTGGATTCCAAGTCAAGGCACATGCTTGGGTTGTGAGCTCAATCACCAGCAGGTGGCGTGCAGGAGGCAGCTGATCAATGATTCTCATCATTGATGTTTCTATCTTTTCCCCTCTCACTTCCTCTTTGAAATAAGTAAATATTTTTTTTTACAAAGAGGAAGGGAGAAGGATAGAGTTAGAAACATCAATGAGAGAGAAACATAGATCAGATGCCTCCTGCACCCCCCCTCCCTGGGGATGTGCCTGCAACCAAGGTACATGCCCTTAACCAGAATTGAACCTGGGACCTTTCAATCTGTAGGCCTACTCTATCCACTGAGCCAAACCGGTTAGGGCAGTAAATATATATATTTTAAATATTTGTGGTAGATATAAACCACAAATTACAATAAAAAATAAGATCCTAATAAATTAATGGCCAAATTATACCAACAGGCAATTCACAAGGGGATATATAAATTATAAACAAAACTGGAAAACTGTTCACTTTCTGTAGTAACTGACAATTACAGTAAAAAACACCTTTGGTTATTGATAAATCAACAAACACAGAAAAGACAGAGGGAGGGCGAGGGGAGAGGAAGGGAAGAAAGGAAGGAGGGAGGGATGGAGCAAGGGAGAGGGTTAGAGGATGGGAGAGGGAGAGAGGCAGGAAAGCAGCAGCCATGGTGAGACAGATGAAACTGGTTCCATTTCTATTTCCATTTCTTCGCCTGAAAATAAAAACATTACCAGCCTCTGGTGGAAGAGATAGCCTACTGCCTTCCAATAATAAGGCTTCCTATATACCTGGTCCATGGGGGGTGGGGGGTGGGGGCACCGCGTTGCAGGTGGTTGTTGGAGGGGTGCCATTTCTGAGACAGCCCTATTCACTCCTCCCTCTCCCACTCCCACCTTTTTCCAGCCTGTGGACACCTGATGGCTGCTGCTTCAGCAGGCGTCTTGGGTCCTGATGTAAGCTGAGGATGGGAAGGTGGAAACCGCGGGCTAAGCCGGGCAGAGCAGAGGTGAGAGAGAGTCTGGCCTGACGAGGCGGGGTCTCCCTCGCCCTTGTCTACTCACCTCACCTCTAATGGGAAAGAAACGAAGGCTCTCTCTCTCCTCTCTCCTGTCTCAGACACTGTTGTTTCTGGTCTCTACTACTTATTTGCAGCTGGGTGCAAATTTTTTTTTTTTTTTTTTTTTTTTTTTTTTTTTTTTTTTAGGCTGGTCGAGTGAAGCAATGGGAGGAATGAGGAAACCTGTGACCACAGGCTGGGATGAACTAGAAGCACTGCACTCCGACGAGCCAGCCGTGTGCGGTTCTTAACTGATAAACTGTCTGACGTGAGGGTGAAAGGAGACGATGTTTGTATAACGTGGCACAGTGCCCATTGCACATAAGCACTCACGGCCATTCGTACGGTCCCTCGTCTCTGAATGGAGGGATCCACCAGGTGTCTGACACTTCACTGTGGCCATAAATTAAACGCACTCAGCGTTCGTTCTTATCTGCGTGGTTAGCAAACGTATGTGGCTCCAGAGGCATTCGCTGCGCACAGTCTGCTAACCTGAGAACACCTTTGAGCTCAAATGAAAAACCATCTCAGAGG